TGGTTTAGCTGCTTGGTCTAAACAATGTGATTACGCGTAGCTACTTGTATCTAGACATCAACATGTATTGGGAATGGTTGCTAGAACATGCTAGAATACATGTTAGAAACATAGCTAAGGGGTACCAAGAAATTTTGTATGGTATTACAGCAATGCATGTTTAAATACCATCAATAGCACCTTACTCTGTTAAATCTTTCCATGAAAATTGTGGCCATCATATCATAATCATATGTAATCAAATATGGTTATAATTACATGTGATCAAACGTGATCGGCGTTGGGAAATTTAGACCAGACGAGACCGGTATACAGCCATGTATTACTGTATTCTTTCGGGTAGTTAGAACGACGCAAGTTGCCCACAAACAAGTTATTCTGTTTTATCAACTAACGAGGTGATGAAGTTTCCTTTGACGAATGTCTCTGGCCACCTCTATTCCATTAGTGTGTTGGAAGGTAATGCCATTTGCATGTAGCTATCCATTTCCCTGCGCCAAAAGTGCCGGTCTAGTCATCCACCCCTCTAATTCCCTTATCAGAGTGTAGCCTCATTCCTCCGTGGAATAGACATAACACTTCTTCTAGATCCTTGCCGTCCTTGATCTTGACCTGATCATATCCTAGGAAGGGCGTTAACGTTGCAGGAGGTCGTACAGTACCGTAAAATTCCCATCTGCAACTATCTCACGACAGCTATGTAGGGGGCGAGATGCCATCAGATCTCTCACATTACGCCCGCTTTGTACAGTATTGATCAAAGGTGTGTTTCGGTGGTAATCTGGGGTAAATTGGGCGAATTTACACCGGTATTACCATGAAGTGCCTGGCCCGGAGATAAGACCCTGATGTAGTGAGATGGTGGGCTTTTGAAGAAGGTCCACTTAAGTGCAGACACGTTGTGTCGTCTCCTTGATGGAGTGTCATTAAGAGTCGTCAAATTCCCCCCACAGAGCTGTAAAACGAGAAGCCGTAGAAGGATGTTCTTCCCACATGTGCTGTTATAGAACAGCGAACTTTCCAAGAAACCGTTAGGCCATGTTGATTTGATTATATGGATGACATCCGCGCATGAATTTTCGGCCGTTTCCAAAAAAAAAAAAGTTTTCAACCATACGGTAAATCGTACAAAACAGTTGCAAAATGAGCAAAAATATAGCATAAGTTACAAAAAAAAATTAATATAAACTATACCAATGTCGTAGAATGCCAAAATCAAACGAAAAAAGACGAAATTGTAAAGAAATGAACTTGAAGACTAGATTATTCGCCAAACCATATTCTGTGCCATTTGCTCAACACTCATGACCACGTAGATTTCATAATGAAAAGAACTTTTTTTTTGCAAAACTTTTTTTTTATTCGCACGCGCGCATCAGTTTTGGGGCTCCCGGAGGATGTCATCCATATAATCAAATTAACATGGCCTTACTCAAGCAACTGGATATGAATTTGGAAACGGTCAGACGTTTCAGGTAGCATCCACTACCTTTCGTCTGTGACACTGAAGAATCGTCAGAAAAGCAGGTTTATAAGCTGTTTTTGGCGTATCTATAATATTACCTGGATGTTTAACCTTCACCGACGTACAAACTTTCCACCTCCAAAATACTATGAGGTGATGCTTACTCATAACCCACCTATATGTACGTGTGCTACATAGTATTTCACATCTTTATAATCTTTCCACCGTGCTCTTTCCTCAGTTGAAATATTTATCACTTCCATATAAAACAAAGGTGACTCAGTAAAGGGTAATTGTAACATACACCGGGGGGAACAACCGAACCACTACAGGAAAATTCACAATACAATGTAGTTCATGTTATTTCGTCTAATTCTACCAAATTTGTTTTGCTGTTTTTGTGAGCATATAGACACCTAGTTAATCTTTTTTGCGAGCATTTAGAAATGTAGTTTTGATGAGTATTTACACATCTAGCTTATTTTATTTCACAATGTCTTCACAATGTCAAAACCATTAGCCAAAACATAATGATTTTGCACCAAAACAAAATTAGCCATTCTCTTCGCATGTTTCATTGATTTTCTTTACCTGTAATAGCGAAACTGGTTCTATCTTTCTGTGCTCTTGGCTTTGTAAAGCTGAGCTTCAGAGCCACCCAAAGCTATCGTGTCAATGGCGTCATGAATATTTAAACCCTATGCCTTACAGATTGCCTCAACGTGCAATTTTCGGGAGGTTTTAACATGTTATGAACCCATTTATCAGAAAATTGTCTCATCGATCCGGAGTTCTCCCCTCTTCCATCTACTCCTATATAATCTGCGCGGCCCATTTTTGAAAAGCCCTTCCCGTAGTAAATCATGACTTTCGCACAAGATCCTGTAGTCAGCACGGGTAGATACAATCCGATGCCTCATCAGTTGAATTCGATCCAAAGATGATTGTCATGTCCCTGCCACAGACTGTTGCATACATACACCGTGTGCAAGCAGAAATCTTTCCTCTTATCGTAATTTGCATCTAGCCTGTATTAAATGCATCCAATGCAACTCGAGGGTGGGAAAATAAAAACATTATGGATGAGAAAATTTGTCTGCTATTGACATTTATTGCCATTTCTTAGTAAATTTTCGTAATCATTTCACACTTAAAGCGTTTAAAATAGCCCCAAACGAGCTACAGGAGGCGTCTCTGTATTTTTGGGTACCACCCATGAATAGCTAGAATCAGCCTAGGCGCCTGCGATACAAAACAAGCAACCATTTTCCATAAGCGACACCGCATTTTTGCCTCACAGCTATCAGTATGCTATGGAATAGGTTATATTCAACGTACTAAATTAAAAGAATCACCTGAAATATTTACTTTAAAAATCCAGTTTTCTACCCGGAAATTTTATTGTGTGGACGTCAGTACATTTATACATTGATCATGGTAGATTTTTACCAACAGGTACGCTTAATACAATATCCTATCATTGTCATCATACTGACGTAACTATAAGACATTCAATTTGACATATTTTATATTCCCTCCCAGACAGTAACAGACGCTAACCCAGCTCAACCGTGCTAAGTGCCTTTTCTCTGTCGCCACCTGCATCTCATTACTCGCCTATTAACTTCCTACAACACACATTCAGACTCATTATGATATATCATCTGCTGTTGTACAGGAGTATTAGTTACTTTTGGTTTGAATATACATGACTATTGTATTCTACATGGTACGGTGGAAAAGATGAAAATAAGCAGAAATGTAAATAGATATATGTCTTCACCATATGCTTAATGGAACCTACAAACATCTAGCAAAATGTTTCATGATTGTGGCTACATTGTTACAGTAGTATCTAGAGGTTCAGTGCACAGTGAACTAGTAATAATATCTAGCTCTAGTGTACAGTGAACCAGTCATATTAGCCCTGATATGAAGACTCGTGTTAATACATTGGTTTTGAATAAAGAACTTTGCTATTCATTTATTCATCAACCTAATGAAATTATTCAAGGTTCTAGCAAACTGGCTCAATTATTGGGGTTGCCTTTCGGAGAAGGCCAACGTTTACGACGGCATTCTATGGTCCAGTTGTGTTCAAAATCGTTCAAGCAATTAATGTATTTCAAGATAGTGCAACCATTCATGAACGATAATATAACCAGATGAACTAATTATCTCCTTGTAACTTTGTTGACATGTTTCCCTCGGGCCAGAGCTCGCGTGTGACAAGCTGTTCATGTTTTTTTAGCCGCCATCTTGGCAAAACTTACTGCGCCTGCGCGAAACTTGTTTTTTTACGGTTTTAGTTGGATGTTTGGTCAACGTTGCATCATAATTTTTCCTGTTGCAGACGATATATTTTCTAACACAACATGGAAACTACAGACGAGATGTCAAGCGTATATACTCCAATACGACCTTATATGAGACATTCTGCCAAAGTGCTATGCACAATACACTACGGTTTTCGAGCAGGTGCAGTATACGTTCTGCCTACGTGCACATCTTGGCTGATAGCGCACTTCCACGCGATTCTTCAGAAAGCACGGCCAGAATTCGAAACTCTCGATGAAAAATTAAGCACAGGCCTCGCAGAGACGTGTCCAAAGCAGGCGATACATTAACGCTATCGGGATGAGGCATTGCCTCATATAAATAGAACCCACGTCACAAGGAAAGACACTTTACAGCTTGTACTACCTCTTCTGACGTCAGAAGTCCACATAGTGATCCGTCAAACGCCGGTCGTCTAGTCATTACAATGTTGTAGTACTGCCTGTATTACCTGTATCATTCCAATATATCTGTGTTTATCTACCAGTAGCAAAGTAGTACCACTGATAATGTAAATTTAAATCAGTGCAGATTCCAATGTGTACTGTTTGTATCATACACAAAAACATAAAATATCGTCACAAGTCCACATAGTGATCATTCACATGCCGGTCGTCTAGTTATCATTACAATGTTGTACCACTGCCTGTATTACCTGTATCATTCCAATATATCGGTAGTAAAGTAGTACCACTGATAATGACAACCAGTACGGATTCCAATATGTACTGTTAATTATAGCATCATACCCAAAAGCCTAAAGTATTCTTATCACAATTCCACATTTGCATAAATTTATAACATATTGTAAATATCATAAACGTATAATAGTATAGTTAGTATGAATTATTATGGTTAGAATTGTTACAGTACAGTTACTCTACTCTGATATTATGATATCTAATGTCAATAAAGTCCTGACTAGCTACTCCTTCATGTTTGGTAATATAGATGCATACGAATAATTCTGCTGTTTTCAGCTTGGATATAAAGAAGGATTTAATACATTGCTATGGGGAGTAGAGCATGATTAACTATTAAAGTAGCATACAAGAGGTAAGTATTGCAATAATGGCTGCTCTCGTTCCCAGGGTACTGTTAGTGTAGTTTAAGCCAGACGATATAAAATGTGTAACTAATGCAGGCAGTGAAGAACAAATGGCACAATGATGACACCTGATTTTTTGTGTGTCCACAGATCTTTGCTGGAATAAAGAATGGGCACCATGACGTCATCAGACAACGGCCCCACATCCTTAGCGCTATCCCTCCAGGACATCAAGATTGACACGACCTATGACCCCAACAGCCTGGCCTTCGGAGTAGACCTGGTGGGAGCCGCCAAGAAGCTTCTGGAGTTCTTACACCTGGTGGACAGATGCCCGATCCTGTACGACGAGGCCATCGTGTTGGAGGCTATCAGGAGATACGAGCTGTTCTGGCTCCCCCTAGCGGCACAACACGGAGGTGAACTTCTCGCCGCCCCGCTGGATATTGCCTGGATTTGGCACGTGCACCTCCTGGCGCCGTACTATTACGAACAGGACTGCCGGAACCTCGTCAACACCACGGTGGACCACAAAATACTGGTGGGACACGAACGGGAGGTGGGCCAGCTCAGAGCACAGGCACTGTGGGAAAAGGAGTACCCGAACGAGCCCTTCGTCATCAGCTATCACGTGCGCCACACCGACTTCAAAAGTCAGATCTCCTACAACCTGCAGTTAGCGGTCGCCCGCCAGAGGGTGTTTTTCTACCAGGTGTCGCTCTCTCACTACGGGGACAACAAGTTCCTGGAGGCGGCCAAAGAGCGCTACAAGAAATACCTGTTCCTGAAACAGACGAACCCAAAACTGTTCCTGGTACCGTGTTACGACTTTGACCTCATCTGGCATGCTCACCAGGTAGGTGCACAATGTTTTGTGTACTGTACTTTCCTTTAAATCAGACACCTGTTCCATGTGAACATAAACAAGGAGAGAAATAAAACATGGCAACAAGAACGAGTGCAGTACCTCAAACCTTAAAATCACTACTTCTTAAAAAACAAGGCTTTCATGGTGCTTCCAGAATGTGCTCAGATTGTGACAGTCAGAATGTACGAGTACATGAATAATAGAGTTTTCTGCGTTTCGGTGTTCAGGGTTACTGCTCAACATAGAAAGAGAATAAGATATTGTACTCGTGCTACATAAGGATATTGTATATGATACACTGATCTTTGATGCTATGGTCCTATGCTTCTATACAGAACTACCCGGCCATCTACAAGAGCGACACCGACAACATTCTCGGTAGAATGCTGAACCATGACGACTCCGTGAACGACCGCTCCCCGGGCTCCAAACTCCTCCTCTCCGACACGCAGACCAGACAACTCTGGAAGAAAACGTTCAACGAGGACTTCGCCCTGAACGGCGCCATGTTCCGCGGAGAGCCCCCTAGCGCTTTTCTAGTGCCCGCCAAGACAATGAACGCGTACGCCACCAGGCAGTGCACGATCGTACTGCAGGAGGTCTACATTTTGAACCTGCCCTCGGATGACAACTTTACGGTGAAGGTGGACATAGCGGGAGGCGGGAGAATTTGCAAACTTGGAGGATCTAACAAGTCTTGGAAGGGAAGATCGTCTGATGGGTTGGCCAAATTCCGTTTTGACACGGCCGTCCACGCCACGCTCAAATTCGACGTGGAGGCGAAGAAGCTTTTTGTGAAGGGTTTTCACGGAACGGCGGCGGTCCCCATCGCCAATGACCTTGTCAACGTTGCGGAGGAAGGTCATCATATTTCTCACAGCACGGAGCTCATGAGCGAGGACGGGAACCCGTCAGGAGTCACCTTGAACTTTACCATCAAGGTAACGTAGTCATTAATGTTTCTGCCATTCCGTGCATCACCCTAGGCCTTAATTACTACACTCTAAAACATAATGAAAAAGATTTAGGCCATGTTGATTTGATCATTTAGATGACGACATCCGCGCGCACATGAATTTTTGTCCGTTTGCAAAAAAAAGTTTTTGACCAAACTGTACATCGTACAATGCAGCACAAAATTGGCAAATACTAGTATATGTCGTAAATTGTAAGTTTAAAAAAAACGGTATTGGAAAACGATACTAATCGTCGTAGAGTGCCAAAATCAATTCTAAGTGAGAAGAAGAAATATGTAAAGAAATTAATGAAAATGAAGAGTCTACTATTCACCATGCCATACTCTGTGTCTGTGTGTTAAGTCATTTGTTCAACCTTCTCGACCACGTAGATTTCATAATGAAGGCAACCTTTTTTCCAACTTTTTTCCATTCGCAGGCTCGCATCAGTTTTGGGTTCCTAGACGAGGGGGTCAACATTATAATCAAATCAACATGGCCTTAGGCTCTAAACGGGATTTCTCTAACTTGACTTGTGATTAACACCCACGTTTCTACCCATGTACCTACAGGTGACGTCAATACGGAAGGGCCACTACATTTTCAACATCCGTAGTGGACAGTACGAGTCCTCGAACGTTCCCGACATCCTCCACGGCCACATCCCTCTGGCCCGTCCGAGTGAGATTTCCAACAAGTGTGAGACCGCCGTTCACAAGTAAGTAAAGACTAGTACAAGAAGTGAAAACGTTCAAGCAAATATGATGTTTAAAGTTGTGTGTGTGTGTGGGGTGGGGGGGGGT